ATATATATATATATATATATAACATATCATATCAAAACATTTGATGGACATAGAAGCAGTAATCTTGCATATCAGGTCATCTCTCTTAATTTCTGTTGTATCAGAAAAGATGAATAGAATATTGAAAGAAATGTTCCAACCCACCTGAATTCTAGCAGTCTTTGTTAATTGAATGTTCTGCTAATTAAGCAATACATAGACGTTAGTGTACAGTGCTTAACAACACCTAGACGGTGATCACTGATCTAAGCACTGAGGTGCTAATAGATGAGCATTAAACGTATAGAATAGAATTCCCCCGGAGTTGGTTATAGGAAATAAAGTGCTTCATTTTTAGATGTCGAAGGGATTTAATCCACAATCTTGCAGCATCTGTTTGTATTGATGATGGATTGAAAGGGATTCACTTGTCCACTTCTGATCAACCAGGCTAAGCTTTGGCAGTAACTGATCCAAGCATGACTAGGAGAGAGAGAAACCAGAAATAGTTTAATAGACAGTATCTGACATTGTCATCTTTGGTATCAGCCACCCATACAGATCTCTGCAACATTAGCTTTTAAAGCTGGTTTTGGTTTGGCTGGTAATATTTAGCTGGCAGAAAGTAGCACTGCAGGAATGCTTTGGATGCTTATTATACAGCAACATTCTGCTTCATTCCCTACATTTTATGTATGTTCGGGTTTCATGAGGGTTTGTGTTGTGTACAAATCCTCCCATGATAATTCTCCATTGGTCCTAACAACCTAAACCTCTCATATCTATAGCTGAACATACAGCTGAGTCTGGAGCTACATTGCCTTTTAAAGTACATGTTGCTGTTCATAAAATATATTTGATGAATACGGTAATAACAGAAGATGTGTTTTTCCAAATATTGAAATGTTCCTAATCTAATAAGGTCAGTATTAATGTGTTTAAATAATGCAATCATGTACTCTGTGTAAAGAAACCAGGTAATTTGTATGGCTTCAAAATATTTACTACACTGCCATGATTGTATATTGTAGAAAGTGACTGAAGAAACACTTTGTTAGAAAATAAATAAAAAATTTTTGCCATTACATCTCATGTGTTTTAATATAGGATTGGGGACCCTCAAATCAATCACACATTTCTAAGAAGTTGGTGGATGTAGTCTTACTCATATCAATTTTACCTTTTGTGATCGAAAACTCTTTTAAAAATACGAGAAGACGATTATGTTCTGGTTAATGTACATGGGAAAGTATCTTAAAAAATTTAGGCAGAGGCACCCTTGGGTAATGGTCTCATTGCAAGAAATATTAACAGCCTTGGGAGTCAATGATGAATAATGTTTTATCTATTCCCCGGGTTTGCCAATTTCTTACATCAGGACCATTGTCCAGGAAGCTTCAGTCGGCTTTTTTTGACATACTTTCTTAACTAAGGCTGGGCACACAACTTACAACCATCGCAAGACTTTTGTCTTGCGATGGTTGTAAGGTACTTTAAAAAAACGTACGATCTGCCTATCTTGGACATGCTTGCGCACACCGGCCCGTCCGGCTTTTATCTTACGAACATGCTACACACCCGCCGAACATCGTACGATACTTGGCGGGTTTTCGAACATGTTCGTAAGTTTAAAGTTGTGCGACCTCGGGATTTCCCGCGATTATCGTACGATTATCGCAAGGTGTGTGGGGACCTTTAGCCATCCGCCAGTACCTTAACTGGGTTCTCTCTAATAGGCATAGAAATTGACATTCTATCCATTGCACGTGACCATATTCTGCCTGGACAAACATATATTTTCCACATGACTTTTATGATGTCCCAATCATGTATTACTATGTTACTGCTAAAGTCAATGAAAAGGTGGGCACATCTGTATATGATATTTTCATGGATCCACTCCATGTGAATCCATATATACGAGTATTGGGAATCGTCAAAAACCTCCTCATACACAATAAAGATGTCTGGAAGCTTGTAAGCAAGAGCAGCCAGACTTGGTTCTGGTCTCCAGCCTAGTAGCCTTGGTGCTTCCATTCTAGTCCTAGAGATATGCCACTGCATGCTGACATTTTATTGTTCTCATCAACAATAATAAATAACAGTTAAAAAAAAAAAATGTTTTAACCCCTTCATGACTGAGCTTTTTTCAGTTTCTGTTCCTTAATGACTGAAGCACTTTTTAATTTTTTGCTGTGTGATTCCACTGCAGTAATATACTTTCTTACTAAGTGCACTCACGCATATTATATATTGTTTTTTAGAGGACAGATAGGGCAATATGATTATATCACATATGTGTGCCTAACGCTTCAGTTAGGATGAATAAAATATAAGAAAAAATGTAAAGAAAACACTTTGTCCCCAGTTTTGATTATTATTGTTTTTTAGAAAAATAGTACAGCTAATAAAAATGTATTAAAATAAATTCATGTATTTGTCCTTTATTTGGAAACACCTCACATCCCCAGGATTTGAGATATTTTTTTGTACTTCTGGGCCTAAAAACAAAAAGCTAAAAAATGTTTTTTCTCTAAAACCTAATAATGGTTAGGTTAGGTGGCCTACAATGTCACTGTAACTAAGTGTCAATAACTTTCACACTTAGTGATAGCGACATACTTTGAACAACGCCATCATGAGGGAAATAAATAGAAAAATTAACCCCATTATTTTCTAATGGCATCCCTGTCACGCCAGGGGGATTGCGCGGTTTACCACCGCAATTCCGCCCGTGCAATTGAACACGGCTAAAAAAGTGTGTCGTGTGTTGCAAAAAAAGATACTTGTACTTTTTTTTTGCGATTTCCGTGTGGATGTAATCCCAATGAAATCCGGGGTATCGCTCAGATCTGAACCTAGCCTTACATTTTCTGTCATACTTTTATCTGTGGCCACATATGGACACCCCCACTTCCTATCTCTCTGACACTCAGACAAGAAATAGGGGCATCCCTATTTAGTAGAAAGTGTAGTAGAAATTGTTACTTACATGCAGCATAGTCTCATATTCTGCCTCCATGTTTTCCACTTCCCTCTTCAGTTCTGTGATTTCAGCTTCTTTCTCTTGTGTCATGTGCTCTGATTCCTCCTTAAGGGTCTGCATAGCTTCTTGGCTTATGGCTGTACATGTTAAAGACAAAGAAAAGATTTTAAATGGCCCTGACATAACACCTGATAAATACAAAGGTGACAAATGTTCATTCAAAAATACTTTCACTTCTGCTGTTAAAGGACAAAAATTCCATATTTTTGGTAAGTACATTTTCTGCAGAAACAAAATCTTGTTGACTTTGACAGAAATCCAATGTCTATGTAACTTCCTGTGCACTGAACTACATTTTCAAACGAAGTCTGCTATAGCTATTTTCTGTGAACTACAAAGCACCCACCCCTATGTAATGGAGATGAGAAGAGTGGAGGAGTTTTTAGCCCACTTCCGGAAAACAGCTTAGGGTGCATAGATAGAGTACAGAGAGTAAGCATTGTCACCCCAGGACAGGAATCGTGTTACTGGCAGGATCACTGGGTGAAAAATAGTAAAATAAAGAAACAAATGCAGTCACCAGATTTCAAGACTGGTAAGCTTCAATATATCACATGTTTACTCCCCCTAATTAGAGCCGACGTGTGACACTGCAGCTGGAAATGCGCTTAGTGAACAGCTACAGTATGTATGTATTGTGTATTGTTAAAAGAGAACTATGGCTAAACTTAAAACTCAGCATTTAGCGGGCAACAGTGCAAAGCCGTCTGCGGCTCTATTGATCAAGAACTGAGCAATCTAGGAGAAGGGGCGGGCACAGCTGTCAATCAGGGAGCGGGGTGGATCCTCACAATATTGTCAGGATCCTTCTTGGCCTTGCACGGCTTTGCACTGTTGCCCGCTATATGCTGAGTTTTAAGTTTGGCCATAGTTCTCTTTTAACAATACACAATACATACATTCTGTAGCTGTTCACTAAGCGCATTTCCTCCTGTTCTTATGAACTGGCTGAAAATTCACTCAGTGCATATCCCTGTCTGCTAGCTCCCACCCAACACTCAAGTAAGGAATAAGGAAGCTGGGAGGCGGGTTATTACGCGCCGCCCGGCTTCCTGATTGGTTAGGAAGCCAGGCTGCTTTGCAACATGTGAAGCTGGCTTCCTAGCTAATCAAAAAAGCCGGGCGGAGGGTCATAACCCACCGCCCAATTTCCTGATTGGAAAGGAAGTCGGCTCTTTGCTCCCTTGGCACTGCCGGTCAGAGGGAGAGCTCCCTCTGAAGTTCCGGTATCAGTGGTAAGTATCGGAGCATTTGGGTGAGTACGAGTACTCGCCCAAATACTCGGTATCGGCACTGATACCTATACTACTATCAGTATCGGTGCATCCCTAGTGTATATAACCCAGCCTTACTCTTGTCTGATATGATCACAGCCATAAATGTAGTAAATTATAAATGATCTGTGAGTAGCCCCCCCATATAAATATATTAGTCCTAAACAGTATAAACCAATAAAGAAAATATATAAAAAAGTATTATACATTCCATGCTGTGTGTGTAGTATAATATTGTAGCAACATGTATGTACCATGCTTGTACATATGCTCATGGGTTTAACACAGGAGGTATTTCTGACATACATAGTTGTAGTTTTAATTTGGCCACTTCTTCCTCCAGGTCCTGTATGCGTGATGAGCTTTGCTGTTCCAAATCTTTATGCTGACGAGTCATTTCTGACAGATGAAGAAAAGAAATAGTAAATAAAGCCATACTGTACTACAGCTGCACAAAACAAACTGATATTTGCTATTAATGGCCCATTTATTTTCCATCACCTGCTATATACAATGTTATATGTAAATAGGTTGTGTAGGTCTCGGTAGAGCAGCACAGAAGGAGGGAGTAAAGTTAGGAGGAGGGAGTCCGGGCCTTACAAGTTAGCATACTAAAAGGAGGACAGGAGGGTATACACAGCAATTAAAAAAAATATTGCTAGACGTTCTAAACATACCCCACGCTACTAAAATGTTTGTAGTTGTCTGTGTCCCCATTGGAGATATTTTCAATCACTTCCTGTCTTAAAATGAAGGGAGGATAAATCCGTCCAATAGGGTCAAAGACAGCAATAAATTATAATTATAATTATTATATTATGACACTGTTTGTACACAGAGTATTATTACACTGTATATTAAAGATGGATGCTTACCACTATAGATTGCTTGTTTTGTATCTTTTTCCTCCTGTAGATCTTCTAATAGCTCATGCAGTTTTCCACGCATTTCCTGTTTGCGGTGTTGTGCCTGGCGCATCACTTGCCTTTGCAAAGCTATAAAGAGGAGTCAGCATTTAAACATGAAAAATAGGTACTCTGGCACAGGGTGTTGGGAACCAATGGACAAAGCTGAACTGGCTAAAAATATTCAATAAATCCAATTCAAGTCTGGTAAAAGCCAAGTCTCCCATGGATATTTCTTTTACACTATATGCTGATAGCTCGCCACCCCCACCTTCCAAAATGGCAGTTACCAGAAGTTGGACATTTCATGGGTACACTGTAGGACCTATTCAATAAACATTAAAAAGAGAAATGATCCAGCAAATAAGAGGTCTTTCTGGGCAGTCTAGAGCCCAAGCCATTAGAGATTACTTGAAGACCTCTTCCCACCCCACTATTCGAGACTCCAAACTCTCTTCTATAGCTTCTCCCATCTCTGGCGAGGAACTCCAAGCGTTGGTTTCCAAACTGCAGGTCAGTAAGGCTCCTGGTCAAGATAGCCTATCACCCCACTATTACAAATGCTTCTGGGCTACCGTATCCCCTCAATTCCTAGATTCTTTTAGCGCACTGACCGAGGGCCATGCCTTGCCAAGTGATTCTCTTCACACACATATCACAGTTTTGCCTAAGAGTGGGAAAGACCTGCCAAATTGTGCTAACTACAGGCTCATATTGCAAATTGTGGTATCAAACTTTTCAGCAAGATCTTGACCAACAGAATCAGACCTTTCCTCCCAGATTAAATACACTTAGACCAGTCAGGCTATATGCCCTCGAGAGAGGCAAGGAAAACTACTATTAGAACCATTGACCTGATTGCATATGCCTGGTTGGAGAAGGTCACGATGCTCCTTGTCTCAACCGATGTGAAGAAAGCTTTCGAGTTGATTGTCAGTTTATGGACATCAATCTTCAATATGTACATTTATTCTTCCCATTTGCTATTTTCCTTTCCATCTGTTGCTACCTGAATCCCACTAGTGTCAGAGATTCAAGGTACCTCTATAAGCCTCGTGAAGTATATTACCTGCCAAAGGATTTGTAGTTCTTTGCAGGCCATCTTGTGATTTACACAAAATGTCTAAACTATACAGCCAGACAAGTGTATTTAACTTTATATTAGGTTCATTTTCCTTCAAATATATAAAATAACAATAATAACATGCTAAAATGTATTACAATTATAATAAACATATAACAAATCATTGCTGTTCAAAGTGTAACCAATTAGATTTTACTTACCAAGGTGATCCTGTAAGACATGTACCTCTAGGTTGGCTTTTTTGTAATTATCTTCCATCAGACCTATCAGAATGGTAGTTGCTTTTTATACCATTACACATATACATACAAATAAATAGATACAGCAATTATCTATATTGCATACAATGTTCTGTGGAGATCTAACCTGAACACATAAGTATTCACCCAAAAAATATATATGGAAATATTTATATTAGCAATTTTGCTTTTCTAGAAGTATGTGTTTGTAGATTGTCATAACTAAGCATTTCTATAGGTGTGTTTGTTGTTGTTTTAAAGATATAGGTAAAGGTCCACTTCAAGGTCTTGCCACTTGGGGCTGAGGACTTTCTTCCGCCCCTTAATGACAGTGCTGGGTATCTAGGTGGCCAGTGGCCGAGCACCAGTGCTGTCACATGAGAGCAAGGGGATTGAGACACATGCTCCTCCATGCAGTGGTGTATTTATGTATTTGGCTGCCCTAGGCAAGCCAAGCTTCGGCCGCCCTCGGCACCTTACTAGCACCCCCCCCGGGGGGGTTTAACTCTAGTCGCAGGCAGAGATTACA